AGGCCGAGTTCCTGCATATCTTCTCAATCGGTTGCACTGCACACAACATCGACTTGATGCTGGAGGCTTTCACGAAGATCGGATGGGTTGATGATGCAATCAAGCGTGAGGTGGAAGTTGCGAAGCTCTTCACGAATCATACATGGGTCAGGGACCTGTTGCTATCAAAGTCTAACAGGGAGATTGTGGCAAAACCGGGGGCAACCCGGTTTGCCACAAATTTCATCATGTTGGGCAGCCTTCAGCGACTGTACCTTCCTCTTCGTTCTTGTTTGGTTGATGCAGCTTGGAAGGAGAGCATCGTGCTGCCCATACAGCGGCATCTATTCCATGCTGCAACCGAATGCATCCTCGACAACTCGTCTTCGTCCGGTGTGGAGAAGGTAATAGAGACCTCGAAGCCCTTGCTCGGTCTCCTGAAGTTTGTGGATGGCGACGGCCCCACAATCAGCAAGATCTATGGCCGCATGGACAACTTGGTGGAGAAACTCAGAGAGAACGAGGTCTTCACAGGAATGGAGAAGGACGAGTTGGAGGCGATCATAATGCGGCGCTGGAATGCCATGACATCACCAGTGCATTGTGCAGCAATGTTTTTGGACCCTGAGTTCAAAGCCAGCAAGTCGGGGCAAGATCTGGAGGTTGCAGACGGGTTCTGGACGTGGGTATACTCTTGGTGCAAGCGGCCGATGTACAAGGCGGTGGACGAGGAGGTCAACAATTGGATCGACGGTGTCGGGAAGTTCAGGTCCGAGAAGGCGATTGAAGAAGCACGTGGGACGCAGCCTGCACGATGGTGAAGAAAGTGGTGCAGCGAGCTGCCCCATCTCCAAAGGCAAGCAATCCGTTTGCTTGGCCAGGGGTCCTCCTCCTCCAGCTGTGAAAGAAACTGGGGCCTCTTCAAGCGCATCCATTCCCGCCCACAAAACAAGCTTGAATCAGTCAAGCTCAACACCTTGGTCTATAACAGATGGAATCAGCATCTGTTGAAGAAGTTGACCAAGAAGCCGAAGGCCGGCGAGGATGACCTTTTGTGGGAGGAGGATTTGGACCTCGAAAAGAAGGAGGTCACTGCAGATGCTGCAATGTGCGTGGACGAATGGCGCTCGCATGTTCGCGAGCTGAATGAGGGGCGGGAGGACAGTGACGATGATGATGCTGAGGAGGATGACAACGATGAGGATGCTGTCGAAGAGGAGGAGGAGAGAGAGAGAGGTACGGGGCAAATGGTGCGCACAAGGATTGAGAGCGATCTCTTGGAGCTTGAGACACAGCTCAACGAGTCATGGTGGAAATCGACAAAGGTGTCGAAGTACTTGGCTCGACTGCATGTGGGGGAGTTGCAGCAGGCCATGAAGACCATGGGCGATGCGCATGCCGAGAAATATATGGCTTCTTGTCCGAAGGCATCTGCGTTGCCACCAAAAACCGTCAAATGTGGACCAGGAAGACCTCGGAAGGTCGTGGAGGAAGCTGCTGCAATGGAGGAGAGCGGTGGGGGGAAGGAGACTGTTGAGGAGGGGGGGGCAACAACAAAACGACCACCAGGCAGACCACGGAAGGCCGTGGAGGAGACCAGTGCAACGGAGGAAAGTGGCAGGGCGGATGACAATGCAGCGGAAGAGGAAGCCTGCGATTCTGATGAACAACCTCTTCATTGCGGAACGCGGCGCAGGCATTCAAACCATGAAGGGGTAGTGGGGGCTAGAGCCGGTGTGCAGCAGTGTTTTTAACAGGACCGGTAGATCTGTTGATTCTGTTGTTGAACTTGTCGAAGTTGTCGGTAACGCGAATTCTGAGAACAGTTGAAGATGTTAAATGTTTGTTAATCATTTATGAAATTCATTTCTGAAATTGTGTAGTCCCGTGTGTGTGTGTTTGTGTGTGCATGCGAGTCCAAAATTCGTTTTTGAAAGTGTGCAGTCCCGTGTGTGTGTTTGTGTGTGTGTGTGTGTGCATGCGAGTCCGCCGAAGTCCACTCAAATGTCAAATACTCAGCACCAAACTCTTCAGCAACCATAGATGGAAACCAATCAACATGTTTCCATGTGGAAGTGTTGAAATGTTGAATTAAGTCACCTGGATGACAACAACGTATCTTCTTCACCCGAGCACAACTCTCTATGATAGTATGATCATGAATGTGCACAAGCCGGCCACCAGGCTACAATACAGTCACAATAATTGGGTGTTGTGTTCCGGGGAAGAACCTAGAACTTGCGAGTTGCAAACCCACTGGGAAGAACGTTTTTTTTTTAATCCGGACATCCGGACCGGGACCTCTGCAACCGGACAGTCCGGGTCCGGTGTCCAGTTGTCCGGATGAATGTCCGGATTACCGGACGTCCGGTTGCAACCAGACACAGACCCGGTGTCCGGTGTCTGGATGTCCGGGTCCGGGGCAACCATGCTCTCTCTCTCTCTCTCTCTCTCTCTCTCTCTCTCTCTCTCTCTCTCTCTCTCTCTCTCTCTCTCCGGTAG